CGGAGGTGGCAGATGTTGGGATGCTGCTGCTTTTAATGCTGATTACATAACCCTGCATTAAACGGCCGCGGCGGGCCGTGATCCGTGCTTAAAACTGCTCGCTCGGCTACTCTGGGCAGGCTGCAGCAGCGCTGGGGTGGGGGGGCTTTGATTTTGGATCTGAACGCTGCTGGCATTGGGAAGGGGAAGGGGCCAACCTCATGAGCTCTTTTGCAAAGGGCATTGGTGGCGGTGGGGAGAAAGAGGGTTGAAAACGGTTATTTATAGCCCTCCCTTTGTCTCTGCAAAAAAGGATTGGATGCTGCGCTTCCCTGAAATGCCTCGGTGGTTTTTATAGCGCATAGAACGGTCCCTATTAAATATTGATGGCAGAATTGCCTCCTCTACAGCAGATGCAGCATTAGCAATATTTATCACCCGGAGGCAAAGCCTTCAGCTGATGTCGGGCTCGGTGGAAGCCGGCGGGGTTGGGACCTTGATGGCCGGGGGCGATGCTGCGTGCGGGACCCCGGAGACCAAGCGGGGCTTTGCCTCTTCAGCTCCCATCCATCCAGCTTGGGTCCCACTTGGTCCAGGGGGTAAGTCCTGTTACAGCCAGGCCCCAGGGGCAGAGGAAGATGCTGGGAATTGCCTGGGGTCGCACAGGGCGTCTCGCCTCTCGCCCCCATGGAGTGAACCCCTCTGTTTGCAGAGCTGATGCAGGAGGCCCTGGGGTCCTAGAGCACCTGGGCCCTGACCCACAGAGTATTTGGCCCAACCAGTGCTATGACTAGCCAAAATGGGGACATTTACATTTGCTATGACCCCCTTCTGTTGGGAACTGAGCCACGGTTGAACTCCCCGAGGCCTTCGAGGAGCCAGCTTTGGGTGGCGGGGGTGTCTTGATGTCTGAAATCAAGGACTCTGCAAGGGATCAGTAAATGAATGTACAACTTCCCACCAGTCTCCAGAGCCCTCCGGCTCGTGGGTAGCGAGCAGAGCAGCGCTGCTAGCTACAGCTCATCCCGTAGGTCGTTACATGCCCGTAATCCCACCCAGGAGAAATCAAGTTAATGGCAGATACAACACGCGAGCCCGGGAAAAGACTGCGGCTGCAAGGATGCGAAACCAAGCTGAGGACCCTATTTTAAGGATCGACCCAGGAGCATCTTGCCTCAGAGCATCCTTTTTTCCCTGGGGTTCTTCCGTCCTCATGTCCACACCGAAGTCAGGCTGATTGCCACAGCAAGGCCTGGCTGGCTCTCGCTACGCCCTGGAAATCCAGCTGCGAGTTACTGGATTGTAGGCAATTAAGTGAATAAGGGCGATAGCAAAGGAAAGGTTCATGGACCAGCCTGTGCTTGCTTGTTTGACACGGTGCACTGTGCTTCAGGGCCCTGGGGAATTGCTGGAGGTATGTGATGCCTAAATAACCATTGCAGCCAAGATCCCTCTAATCCCAGATGCACCGTGCCCTGTCAGACCCAAGGCTGAGCTGCACCGGCAGGGCTTGGTCCATTCCAGCCCATCGCATCCAGGGTTGCAGACTCTCGTCCTTTAAAAGCACCAACTATGGTAAAAATGCAGCAGTGCACGGGCACCAGAGCTTGCTTCGAACACGTTGCCCTGCTGCGCCCTGTCTCTGTTCCTACCGGTCTCTCTTGGTAGTTTAATCATGAAACCTGCTCCTTTGTTTTAGCTGGGCATCCGAGCTTGAAGGGGTTGGCATGTTGGGGGTGAACTCCTTGCTGAGGACACAGCGTCTCACCCCCCTACCCACATCCCCTTCTGCTTTGGCTTTGCTTTCTCAGCGGTTGTCTCTAGGAGAGACACGGCGGGGCGGGGATGCAAAGCCTGGCGAGCTGTGGTTTTGCCATGCAAAGCGTGGCGCAGGTTTTCAAGGGAGTGGGAGGCTCGGTGTGCCCTCACGGAGCTGAGGTCTTCCCCCTCAGCTGCTGGTCTTCCCCAAGGAAGGGTGCCTCATATTGCTTCTGCTTTTAAGGCTCCCTCTCAGGCCAGTGTGTGCAGACTTCAGCCCACAGCTGGTAAGGAAAGCCATCCCGTGTCTACGCAGGGGGCTGGAGCCCGGAGCCAGCCTGGCCGCACTGTGATCCTCCAGCTAGCTGCACTGCAGCAGCCTTTGGGTCCAATCCTGCCAGCTGGTGTCCGGAGCCCCTTTCCCTCTCCTTCCCAATGATCGCTCTACACCACATCTGGAGTGGAGCCCTTTCTCGTTACTTAGGCTTCTGTCTCTGCCTTCAGGGTGCGGGAAGACACTTGACGGTCCAGGGGCTGTATAGGCTGGAGCCATCGCTCACTTCTCGCACCACACTTGTGGGGCACCTGCTGGGATGTCATCGCAGAAACTCAGTCCTGCATCCACGCCCCCAGGCTGGGGTTGCCCCAGTGGCAGTCAGGAAACTAGAACAAGAGAAACCCATGTGCCTTAGTGTGCTCCAGGGCCCTTGCTCCCATCTGCTCTTTTTGTTGCACTGGGTGTCATTAATCTTCGGCTGGAGATAACAGACTTTTTGGCTCACCCGGGACTACGAAGCAAATCCAAGCATCCTTTAGTTGCCTGGCATTCGGGCTTCCCCAGCAAACCGTGTGCTAGCACCCCATGGCTGCACAGCAGCATGGTTTATAGAGAGGCTAACTGATGGGATGAGTGTGATCCAGCCTCCAGCAACATTGTGTGTGTATGTGTGTACAATTCTCCACCTGGTTATGTAGATCAGTATTTCTCACCCCTTGGGTCACTACCCAAAAGTGGGTTGCAAGAATATATGAAAGGGTCCAAAAGACACTTGAAAAATGGCTTCTCCTTTAAAGGAGAAAAGTGTGGGAAACGGTGGGGTTTCCCTTGCAGGCTGGCAGCGTTTCAGCCTGCAAGGGGCTGCTTGAGGCCCTCCCCATACCCCACACTCCCCCCAGGAGTTGAGTTCAGGGGTGCAGGGCCAGGGGGGCTGTTTTCTACTTGCACGATTTACTGGGTTGGGACTGGCCACCTTCCTCCTGACTAGTTTTTCCTAGTAACCAACTAAACCTCCCTTGCTGCAACCTGAGTCCAAATCTGTCTCGGCAGAAAAGTAGGATAAAAGGAGATAATCGTTTCTGTTCATAAACTCGAGATTGTGTTAAAAAGAAAGTTTGCAGAGTCGGGCTTCTGAGAAACACCGGGTCTGATGTCATCTAGCAGGACGGTAATACCTAACGCTGCCTTCGTGTACTGGCGCAACGGGTTAGTTCCCTTTGCGTGATCCTTTTCCTTCTAGCGATTATAGGGTATATAGTGTGAAATGATCATGTTAGTATCTTGTTTTATTGCTTTTGGCAGCCAGCAACTGACTTCTTTGGGCGGCAAATCATCAAGAAACGGGTTTCTCCATCAGCAGGTATGTGCAGAAGAGACCTTATTTAAACGGGGAGGGTGGAAGGATGCCAGGAGCATGGCGTGGCTTTTTGCTGTAGAAAGGCGGTCTATTTTGTGTGGTTCTGGGTTACTAAAACTGATTCACCAAAAGGGCGGCAATTAGCAATTAACATGGTCTGTTCTGCAACAGCCTGAAGGAGTATATGTACGTGCAAGGGGGCGAGGGATACTCAGGGGTCGTTGAGTTAATCCAGCTCTCTGCTTGGAGCAGAAAAGGCTGAGTAGTTACAGTATGGAAGCACCCATAACGAACGGTGTAATAAAGACAGCCACAGCTCTGCTCTGGCAAACTTTTCAAGGACATGTTACTTAGCCAAGGAAATTAGACAGGGGCTTCAGTGTTTGCAGAGCTGTGACGTTTCGAATAGGCAGTGCTGGTTCAAGAAGCGCTCGCCCCCAGCTACAGCAAATTGTCTATGGGACAAAGCATTCAGGACTCACGGTAGAGGTGATCTCTTTTATTAAAACAACTCGATTTGTGCAAAAAAAAAAAATCTTTAATTGCAAGCTTTTGGGCGCAGAAAGATGAATACACCCTGCTTACCAAGAAACGACTGCAAGGTAAAGATACTATTCCAGCTTTTCTGAGCCTAATCTGCATATAAAATGAACTTTTCGAAACACGAGACTTTTACCACCTTCAAATCTCGTATGAAATGTGAATTTTCATTTCTCCCCAGGACAACTTTTACAGCCTTTTCTCTGATGCCTGATGGAAGGGTGTTTGCACCGAAAGCTTGCAATTTAAGAATTTTTTTTTTTTGTTTGCAAAAATCGAGTTGGTTTAATAAAGGAGATCACCTCGACCACGAGACCTGAATGCTTTTTCCTCTAGACCCATACGGCTACAGTCTGCATACCTTATTTATAGGACCACATATGTAGCAAGGCAACAGTCCATATAGGATCCATTGCCTCACTGTTACTTCCTCAAAGGTCCATGACCCAGGCTAATGATTCCCACCCCGTTTTAGTCCCTCGATTTAATCACGATACGGTTTCTTCTCCCCTCCCACCGTCCCTGCCTAGCAGCAGCCAGTCCAGCATCGGAGCAGGACTCTGTCGAGAAGCAGATCGGGAAGGCGGTCGGGAAGAGCGACGTTTGGTTCCGATTTAACGAGGGCGTTTCGAACGCCGTCAGGCGCAATCTTTACATTAAGGACTTGCTCTAGCGAGAAGCCGCGACACCGAGGAAAGGACACGTTGCAGAACGGAAAGAAAAGCCTCTCGGCTCCCCGCCTGCTACGTGGAGCGCGCGAGGACGAGCCTCGTTCTTACTTTGTTACCCTCCCCACCCCCCCCGCTGCTGTTGTTGTGGTTTTTTTTGTAAAATATGAACAAAATAAAAGTTAAAAAAAAAAAAAACCCGGTGAAGTAATTGCTCGGTTTTATTTCATGTATAAACCCTTAGTTCTCGTATTTGCCTCTTCGCTGCAAAATTGTATATTCTACAATATACAAAAAGTATTGAAAATCATTGAAAATTTTGTTATAAAAGATCTTTTTTTTTTGTTTTCCTTTTCCTTTACAAGTTCAAAAAGGCTGTGTAAGGTCTTTGTTTTCTTTTTACAG